GGAGCAAGCAAGAAAAGTTCAGACCATTGCTTAGATGGGCAAAGGAATGAAACTCTAGCAGTCGAGTAATTGCTGTAGTGGGAGAGAAGGTAAATACTATTGGAAATACATTTTTGATATAAGAAAATGGTAAATTGTATGCCTTCCTCTACTGCTAGTATAATTTTTTTTTTCTGGTCTTCAAGGCAAAGACTGGAAAAAAATACAAAGTTTATATAACATATTGTTGGCCTACTTTCTTTTAATTTTAAAAACTCCTCAAATGAAAAACGGGTAACACCTGTTGCATGATTTAAAAATAAGCATGCTACTCTGGCAAGATATGCCCTTTTGACCTTGCAAATAGGTCAACTTCAACAAAAGCTTATGCCCAGAATATCAAAAAGCAGGTTAGAGCCTACATATTAATATAAAGTGTAAATAAAATTAAGTTATTTATGGAATTTTAGAGATTACACAAATGAAATTTGAAAATTTTCCAAAGAAGTATTTTTAATCTTAACATGAAAATTACTTTGTACTCAGAGCAGTCAACACTTACTGCATTTATTATGGAAAAAGTTTAAGAAAAATACTTAATTACAAATTCTGACTTTTTTGTCTACAAATGTCTTGTAATGTTTACTAAAAGTGTGAAAACTTTTATGTAGATACACAAAACATGTTAAAAGTTGCTAATAGTTATAGTATGGAAACTTTCATGGTTACTCTGGGGTATTGGGATCGATTTATTCCTCTGAGGTAGTACCAAAAGAGTTAAATTAATACAAGTAAACCTAAGTTCAGTTCCATGCAATAGAATGCACTTTTTTTTATTGACTTTTTTAAAAACCTATTATTAATGTGTTCAGAAAATACATTGTTGCTTTTCCATAACTATTATTTTTGTTTATTTCCAATGTCATCTGGAAAGAAACACTTGATAACAATGCTGTTTTTGTAATTTAGAAATATAGATATTTCAGTCTTTTCAAACAGCTATATCTTATTTGGCACCAAAGTGAGTATATCCAACCAAGAAAATCTTGAAGCAGTAAGCCTCTTTCTAGAAAAGGAGAAACAATTGAACACCTTGTCTTTTCCCTCTGTATTTTATAAATATGGAATATCTTACTTCTGGGTGTTTTCCTCCCTCAATTTTATCTCACGTACATTTGCCGGGCTCTCTTCCATCAAGATGAGATCTTTGGCAGTGTTCTTTACATTTTTGGAAACCCAAGCTAAGGCTGTTTATCAGCATTCTTCTCTGGTTACTATGGTTTCCTATTCATTGATTTTTGGAGGGTTATATAGGTTTCTGGGCCTTGGTAGTCTCATAGAATTACCTCTTTGCTTTTTTTCACCTCTTTTTTCCCCTTATTGAAGCCTCCTACTCTTGGAGGGGTGCCCATTGTGGATCATTAAGGTAACTTGCTTTTGGAGCTGCCCCTCAGCTCTGGTCAGGCAGGAGTTTGGCTTTTCTTCTGTGTTCACCTATGGACTCCCTTTGCAGACAATATTTTAGTCAGTTGCTTTCTCACAGATATTTCCTCTTTTTCACATACAACCTTCTGTTTCTTCTTCTCAGGTTTTCTTTCCACTACCCCTCTCAGATCACCTAAATCCTGAACACTTAGAGAAGGCTGTGTCTTCTCTATGGGTTATGAATTCTGTAAAACAGTTCCTCAACCTTTCTTGGGACTTTAACTCCCATCTGTTTGTTCCCAAAGAGATGGAGGATTTGCACCCTGTCATAGACCTCTCAGCCCTTAACCAGTTTCTTGTAATTTGTTGGTTTAAGGTGGACAGTTTTTCAATCTGAAGTGAGTGTTTTCTCTTGGTTTGTGTATAACCAAAGTCAGTGTTTTATATACTTTTCTCTACATTTCAATTTGTTTGTCTTTGCTTTCTGTGGTTTGCCCATGACAATTACATTTTTCATTTCTGAGCCTTTGATTCAGGTTAGCAGATGCATTTTTGAGGTCTCTATTTTCAGTTCTAAATGGATTATTGGCATCTTCTTGCTCCATCCAAAGAAGTTTCCATGTCAGTGATTTCTCTTCTCCTTTGGGAGGTATCTAATTGGAGTTGGCTTGTAAGATTCTTCAAGTTCATATTGACTCACTCTCAATATTTAGTTTACATTGGAGTCTTTTTAAATGCAGGTGCAGGATGGGCTCAGTTATCTTCTTTACATCTTTGTAACTTAGAGCTTCTGATTACCAAAGCTCTCTTGTCTTCTACTCTTTCTGTGCAAGAAGTTCTATCACTTTTGGGGGACTCAAGTAAAGCAAAAGACCCTTTTTTTTCTCAGATGTGTCTCTGTTCTTCCTCTTCATTGGAACCTTGTTGATAAAAAAAGTTATGTCCAGAGATTCCCTGTCATCTCTTCTTCTATCACTGTGGTGGTGGATGGATTAGCCCCACAAAACACTGGGCATCCCTTTTCCCCTACCTTTCCTGGATGTATATATCTATTCATTGATGCCTGCACCCTATTTGGGTTATGGTCTCTAGAGGGATGGTCCTTGAACTGTTGGCTGCTCACTGAGATTATTGTAATCTTCAGTCTCATCTATCTGGTCATCTTGTGATGATCTATTTCTACAATTCCACTGTCTGCCATGTCTTACATCAACCAACAAAGAGGAATTTGATCTTGAGACCTCTGCTTTATTCTAATTTTCTTTTTTAGACCCATAACCACCACATTTGGTTGTTGGCCTGTTCTGTTCTGTGAGCTTTGAACCTCATTGCAAATTCATTATCTTGCTTGGGCTGGATATTTCCCATGAGTGATTTTTCCATCCTCTGGTGTTTCAGTGGATTTGTTTCCACTTTGAGAGTCTTCTCATTCATACCTTTGTATCTCCCCTCACCACTGAATTTCCTCATTTTCTTGTCACCTATGCTGAACTCTGCAGCTATGGCAGTCAGTGCTCTGAACCATAATTGAATAAATTTATTTGCCTATGCATGTCCTCTTAGACTTCTTCCTAGGATTCTGCCTCTTTTTCTCAAAATACCTTACTGGGGCATTTTCATCAATGTCCTTTATCTGGCTCAGTCATTGATTTTTTTTATCCTTTAATGTCATGCTTTGCTCTAGATTGCTCTACTATTTCTCATCACACTTCATGTATTTATCTAGCTTTTGAAAAGCAGTTTATCTGTTTCTACACTAACCAGTTCTAGAGCAGCTTTGTCCTTGACTTTCTATCTTTTCCCTGGCCATTCTTCTTTTCAGGTGTCCTCATTATCTGGGCTGGAATGTCTGCATTTTTCTCCAGGTCCTCACATGCTGCCCATTTGAGTCTTTGGCCACATTTTTACATAAAATCTTACTTCTTCTTGCTTGCAGCACATGCCAATCTAACCTTCTTGCCTTAGATGCCTCCCACACTCTTTATCACAGTGATAAGTTTATTTTTTTCCCCTGAATGATTTTTTTTTTCCTAGACTCTCTCATTATGGGCACAGGGACCACCTCATAATCATTTTGTGCTTGTTCTAGTTTTCAAACTATAATTTTTAATACAGGAATTGTATTTTTACAACATTTTGCAGATTATCAGTAAAACATTACAAGGTTTTAGTACACAAAATATCAGATTTGCTTGTGCATTTTTCTTTTTCGAATGTTGACTATTCAACATATGAAGTAATTTTGATTTTAAGATTAAAAATATTTTTATGAATCAGAAAGTTGTCAAATTTCACATGCAAAATCTTTGTAACCTCCTAATATCCTCCAGTTATTTGTCAAACCTTTTTTTTTTAGAAAAACTTTCTCTGTCTGTTATATTCACTAGTGTATCTCTATATAGTTTTGGTTGATTTGATCACCTTATAACCAACATAAAAAATTAGGAAATTGATATAAATTACACTTTTTTCGTTGTAAAATGACTTCAAATTATAGCAAGAAACAACAAATGTTTAGTCTAAATAGCTTAAATCTCATAACTTTATACATCTGTATATATTTATTTTTTATTTCATTGATCTTGCAGCCGTGTCTAACTAACATTACAAAAGTTACAATGATGTGACACATACGGTCATATTATATATCCAGTAATATAAAAATGGCCTTTACAAAGTGACCTGTTTTCAGTATTTTTTCAAGTGAACCAGTATTTTGTAAAATAGTCACATTTTGGTTATAATAAATTAGATATGCAATTATATTATTATCTACAAATAAGTTCTAAAATTTCAGTTATTTTTTTCTTAAAACATAGAACAGTAAATAAAAAAAATTAGGAAACTATGACTTTTTCTGCTTACAAACTTTGTAGTCGTTTTGTCTGCCATAATTTACTAAGCCTTGTCAAATTTTGCATGTGGAGGATGTAACACAAAATAAGTTTTTTAGGTTTTTATATATGCATTTTGAAATAACAAATTATTATAAATTACTCTATCAAAATTGCAAAATTCCACTGTAACATATCAGGCTTATTAACTGAACTGTATTGAGAAAAAAAATTGTTTTTTGGACAACATTTTAACTTACCACTTTCTTCGGTGATTCAAGACAAAGAAATAATCTTGGGAACTTCCCATATTCTAGAGACTGAGAAAACCACCAGGTGGATATTCTGATCTTTGGATTGGTTATTCACACATCATAAACAGAAGCAGGTATACTTAAGCATTTCAAAAAATGGAAAGAGGGAGGTGGGGCCACTGTGTTTGATTCACTAAATGTAGCAGTCTCTCCGCAAATAGAAAAGATAGGAGGTTGTTACTTTATATTCTAGCTTGTCAGTATTGGTAATTTGAAATTCTAATTCATAAAATACTATAGATTTTGCATTCAGACATCACAAACATCTAATTTGAGTCAAAGCTGTATTCAACATACCACGTGACACTGCCTGGAGCTCAACAACAGTGAATTTAAGCCCAACTTCTACTTAGTGCAACCAAAAAGAGATAATTAATAAAAACTATATGGGAAAAAATATGACTTCTGTTGGTCAAACCTGTCCATTAAATAAGACCTTTTGGTATAGGTAACTTGTTTGAAAAGCTGGAAGGAGTTCAGTGGTGGGTTAACAGAGTTACTGTCATCTCAGCAAATCAAGAAGGTTCACTGGTGGGTTGACAAATGTATTGTCATCTCAGCATATCAAGAATGTAAGAAGCTCAAATTTTGTATTCTAATTTGTCATTATCTATAGTTTGTGTATCTAATTGGTTGAACACTTGAAACCCATAGAATGTGAATATTGAGAATTTATTTAAATATTTCTTTTTGAAATGAAAGATTAAAACTTAATGGCAAGCTTATTGATAATAAAGTTGTTTAAGTTTTGAATGTAACTCTGTAAAAAAGGTTGTGACATATTCACATCAACCATTGTATATGCATAGAGAAAAACAGTGTTAGATAAAGAGAACTTGTGACAATTTTAGTATAAAGATACAAGTTCATATCAGATGGCATAGCCAGGTGGTTAGGGTGTTTGACGGGTTTTGAATCCCTGTTCCACCAAATATGCTCACCCTTTCAGCCATGGGGGCATTAAAATTTGTTGGTAAAAGAGTAGCCCAAGAGTTGGAGGTGGGTGGTGATGATTAGCTGCCTTCTCTCTAGTCTTACATTTGAAAAGGTTTTTCGTTGTACAAAACTTGAAGATAGCTTTGATATACAAAAACACCTGTAACTGAGTTCTT